CTTATGAGTTGAAAATATAGCACACACATTACTTCAACTTTGTAAATACTTAATTTGGTTCAATAACTAATTTTAATGTAGCAAACCCAGCATAATGGACACTCATTTTGTGCAACAGTCATTTGTATAATAGGCAGGCGGTTACACAGAGCGCGTTGCTTCTGAAACTTCACTAGAATATAGCTGTAGCCTCTCTAAGTCCAGATCATCAGCAAGATCAAAATTATCTCACACTTTTATAATCAAACTTTTGCAAGAACTTTCACCATAACATATGTTATGTTGATCGTTTTTTTGTGATCTGCAACAGTGTCCACTATGCTAGCAAACCCTTGAGATGGAAATATTGCATAAAGACCAATTTTTGAAATTTATTATTTATAAGATAAATGATATGATGAAAGAATTAGTAAATTCTATTAAAATTTCCTGTTTCCATGGATTTATATTAGGCAGTTCGGTTTTTAAATATTCTTCTAATGTGGAAAGGCAACAGACTTATCAAAGATAAATCTTGTCCAATCAAAAAAAGGTTTTGTCATACCATCTAGTTTTTGAATTGTCCTTGATAATAACCATGTGTAATATGAGATGATTGAAAAATTTTAAATTGTAGTGCAATTTGAAATAATTGGTTTAATTCACAAAAATTTGAAGCTATTAAATTTACTGTGTGAACAACATATCTAAAATTCAAAATATGTGAATATGATTTTCTTTGATATTCTTAGATTTGGCCAGAAACTGTTACTACTGCAACAAATTTATGTGACCCAATTTTTTTCAATTAAACCTGAAATTTCATTTGCCATAAAGTCTCCAGTTTGACTGACAGTATTACTAAATTTTTTAATATTTGGAAATAGTTATTATATAATTATATATTGAACCATTAGTGGTGAAATCCATTCATCAGACCTAATTATAATGAATGATGCATATAAAAAATTAAATATTTTAATTAAATAACCTTTAACATGTAGAATTTTTTCACTTTCAAGTCCTGACTGTTCTATCCATTCATGCAACCTCAGATGTCCAGATAACTTTTCTCTAGATGATAAATTGTATCAGGTACTGCAATTCAAAATAAATCAATTATGATGGAATGAAAGACCATAACAAAACCAAGCCTTTTGATCTTTTTCTTGTCCATCTTTTCCTACATCATTTGATATAAGGATTTATAATGACTACTAATAAACGATTCTTCTTTATTATTACATGCCCCAATCTAAATGTTTGCCTTTTCTTTTAATCAAAGAATTATTTCATTATTGTGAAGAGAGAATCAAGGAAGTTATTGTATTACCTGAGAAGTTGTCATTTTTTCTATACACTGCAATGATTGACTCGTAAAAGGTTACACACGTACTTGAAACCTGGTATATCATTTCCTAAATAGGATTTTTAACCAAATCATCTTGATATTAACAATGTATTTAGCATACAGGACAATGAAATATTTCTTATTTTCTTTTATTTTTTATTTAATACTGAAATATTATTTTATTTAAAATGGACGGCTAGTTAAATCAATAAATTATGGGTATTTTATCAATTACATTGAATTAATGCAAAAGAAAAAAAGTCTGATATTAATCAAATGACAGAGGAATGGAATCCTAGCCGTTAATCACTAATTATCTAACAATAGAATAAAATTGTTTTAGAAAAACTATATTATTACTAGTGCTATTCTTGGCACTGTTGTTTTTATTCTTATTCCTCCTCTTCAGATTTAGGAAGTTTTTGCTTGATTAGCATGAATTCATTTGGATATTGTTTGTTTATTTTTGTTTTAATCAATCTAATTAATTTTAAAAAGTTAGTATTCGTTTAGAGTGTGTGAGTGTGCGAGCATGCAAGTATGATTGATATATACACATTTCATTCACCTTATTTTTTTAAAAATGTAATCTAAATCATTTTTCATTTCCTTGATATTTTTAGTATGCATTTCAAACTTTTTAAATAATTCATCGTATTTACATTGACTAAACTCATTGAAATTAGTTAGGCCTGTTACTGATTTTTCAATTGTTTGATGACTTTTTATAATAAAAAGTGAAGAAAAAATAAAGTTAGAAATTATAATAATATTCAATGAAACATAATAGTAATCAAAATTTAAAGTATTATACATGAGCGTTTGACTTTGTACTATATCATCCAAATCTTTTTCATTGGTCATTTCTTTCATACGATTCGTCACATAATTAGAAGCCTTATATAATATTTCATTGTTTGCATTTTCTTCTTGCATTATAGAATATCTAAGATGTCAAATTTTTTTTGTTTTACAATACGTTGTTGATCATTTAAGAATGTGTTATTGATTTTATATTTCCTATAATGATAATTCACGGAACCACATGAACACCTCCACAGAAACTTCAAACAATCAAGAAGAAGAAGCTTCTTCAATATCCGACGAAACCACTACAATAAAATTTACTCCATGTACCATATGTTCAGAACCTGGTTGTATTACTAGTAAACAAATAACAACAACAACCATTAAAGTGATAACAGTAGTCATAAGAAATGAAGATGGAGACAGTATAACTAATTCATTTGTCGAAACAGACGTGTCACCTGTTGTAACTACAATAGAAACATCTGACCCATCACAAATTGAAATTGAAACAACCGAATATCCACGACAACCACCACAACAAGAAGAACTTCGTCAAGAAGAAGAGATACAGGAAGTAGAAAATGGCATTAATACACTTACTATTATCGCTGAATCAGATTAATTTTTCTTAATTATTTTCAAATTAATTAATTAATTATAAAAAATAAAAAAAGTTACAACTAATAAATGATGATAATAGTTGGTTACTTGATTAGAAGAAATATTGATGATAACTTAGATTTTATAGAAGGTGAAGAAGCATTCAAAGAAAAAAATTAAGAGAAGGAGGCAAAGAAAAAATATTGATTACTTCTTTAACCATTTATATGTAATAATAATATATTTTTTCCATTCATTTTATTAACTAAAGCCAAAAAAGTCTTTTATTCTAATTC